AGTGATTTAAGCAAAGAAATGACACAGTTGAACAATATTTCGACAATATGTCTCTCTTCTTCAAATGAGGTTTAAAATTTTATACAAGTAGAAAAAAAAAATTTTTTGTACAAAGGTCATGAGAGAAACGGCTGTATTCCGTAATCAACGTGATTAACTAAATTACTAACTGCCAGCGAGAATACAATGACAGCATAGCAAGATAGCGAACATGCTTTTATTCAAATTGGCCCTCAATTGATTAGTAAGTAAGTATAATTAATCAAAGATGTCATTTTTGTCATTTATTTCAAATTATTGGAAGAGGTATATTAATCATTGTGATTTATATTGTAATTAATAATAATAAAAATAATTAGTTCAACTCGTTAGAGGATTAGTTCAACTAGTACTGTCTTACCAGAGGATTAGTTCAACTAGTAGCGTTTTACAAACTACAATAATCGGCCTAGAAATTACAGAAGACGGGACGATAATCTGTGTCAAGGAACATGAAAGAAGAAACTCTATTTAGTAATAATGGAAGGCAAAAGGTTCAAAATTGAATATCAAGTGGGTGACGAAATGTAAAACATAACACACTTACTAGAGCGGCAAAAATCTTAAAGAAGAAAGCGTCTCGTATATACGAGTTTGTCGTTACTTGGAAATTTTTCATGCAGCAAGGGCGGACTATCATTGTTGTTTCGTCCGTGTGTTGTTTGATTTATTGAAATTGTCATCTTTGATAATGGCTTATGTAAGCCGAAAGCTTAGAATGGATTTAAACATGTATCAATATGGTGTCTTCCTTTCGTCTTTCAACGATAATGTGATTAAGCTTATCAGACAATATGAAAGGAAGTTACTTAAAATAGACAAAACTTTATTTAATGGAACATGCATTAATGAAAAATTGCTGCCTAAATATACAATATATATATATATATATATATATATATATATATATATATATATATAATACCTGGCCACTCGAATTCAAGGATACACGTCTACAAGGGTGGTTAGCTAATTCCTATTGCAGACACTCGGTCAGGCACATTTCTGTGTTTCTTCAACACCCACGTAGCCCACGTGTGGTTTATACTGCAATTATGCTGAGCAGACCTTAGTTACAGTTTCTGGGAGAGAGCGTGATCAAAAAATTTGAACAAAGGCCAGCACGCTCACATCCACGGCCATGATGACTTGTAGCTTGGTGCTAGGACAGCTATAGACGGCCCCAAGGGTTCCATCGACCCAATTTCACTCACAAAGCTTGGGTCAACCTGTGGTATGTTTTTCCAGAACTTTCCAAAGGTGCCAAGCGAGACTGATAACACCAGGTAGTCGCTTTCCTGACAAATCGCCCATGGTTTAAATATATATATATATATATATATATATATATATATATATATATATATAATTATTTATTTAAAATATGATTCAAATCGCTCATAAAGTGGTCTCATGTTTCAAAACTCATATTTCCTTTCAACCAATTTAATTTAAAGGATTATATTGAAGTAAATGAAATTTTACTTTCAACTCAATTTAATTTAAAGGATTATATTGAAGTTTTCGGCTCTAGTTTTGAAACATGAGACCTCTTATGTAGCGATTTGGAATCATATTTTAAATAAATAATTATATTTATGTTCTACTTTTGTATTGAGCACTATTTTTTAAAAATAATAACTAAAAATACTAAGGGACTTTGGATTATTTACCTAACCAGTTCCTTCCTATTTTCTATATATTTTCACACACACACACACACACACACACACACACACATATATATATATATATATATATATATATATATATATATATATATATAGTAGCGGCCACGGAACGGAAACAACAGATATATAAATATGTGTATTACTTAAAAAGTAATGCATGATTAGCAATGAAATTTTTACCGAATAAAGATTAGGGTGTAATGCATAAATATTATACAAATTTACAAAAATTAAACATAATAGTTTGTTTTGTTTTTTTTAAATAAATATTAAATGGAACAAAGGAAATAAGCTACTGGACAAAAGTTAAGGAAAGATCTTGTTAATACTTGATTGTGAATAAAATATCAACAAAATTTAATATTTGGTAAACTTCCCCTTGTTTTCAATGACTTCTCTGCATCGTCGACCACATGATCTAATTAATTTCTTGCTAAAATCAGCAGTAATTCCCTCCCATTCTTCTTTCAATAACTCCCAGAGGTAATCCTGGTTTTTCGGGTTTCTTTTCTCAGCCCTTTCTCCAATTATCTTCCAAACATTTTCTATTAGATTCAGGTCGGGGCTCGGAGCTGGCCACTTCTTTAGGGCGATTCTTAATTCTTCTTCAAATAAGAGCCTTGTGGCAAGGTGCATTGTTCTGCATGAAAATAGGAGATTCATAAAGATTATGGTATATTCTTGGTACCACATGCTGCTGGAGAAGCCTTTTGTAAATCTCAGCATTGATATTGCCATGTACACGGATGATAGGGCCAACCCTTGCAGATAAAATCATTCCCCACACCATCACACTGCCGCCACCAAACTTAACGGTTTTCTTGACACATTGAGAAGACAGTTTTTCACCTGTTCTACGGCCTACGTAAGTTTTGCCCTCAGAACCAAATATAGTAAACTTGGACTCGTCACTGAAATGAACTGTATCCCATTGTGCGTCAGTCCAAACAACATGTTCTCTCGCATACTTCAGGCGTGCCCTTTGGTTTCGCTTTGAAATGAGAGGCTTCGAAGCAGGAATACGGGCATACAATCCTGCATTTTTTAACCTGCAAGCAACTGTTTTCATTGAGATCTTATTATCTGTCTCTTCATTAAATTTACGGGCAACTGATGTAGCAGTTTCAAAACATATTTATGTCTTTGTTGTTTCAGTTCCTCTTATTATTGCCGCTACTGTATGTTTGTGTGTGAGAAAAAAAGTTATATATCGTTTTGCCATATACATACATACACATATATATGAATATATACAAATACATACATACATACATATATATATATATATATATATATATATATATATATATATGAAGAAATATAGTTTTAAGGTGTGCTATATTTATGGGATAAAATGTTCAATATCAGAGAGAGAGCGTATTTAAATATAAACATAAAATTCAAAATTGAAGTCAACATTCAGAGGCGACAGGCTGTTTCATGCTTGACGCAATCGTCAGGCGGCCTGACGATTGCATCCAGAATGATACACCTCTCGCCTCTGGAGTGTTGACTTCAATGTTCACTTATATATATATATATATATATATATATATATATATATATATATATATATATATACTATACTATATACATACATACATACATACATACATATATATATATATATATATATATATATATATATTTGGTTGGATAGATGTGAGGTTGGACCTGGGTTTCACGCTTTAGTCTGACGATCGCTAAAGCGTGAAACCCAGGGTCACATCTATCCAACCAAATATGTTAGCTCTATCTCTGATATTGAGCGCTTTCTAATAAGTACCGCGCATATTATATATAAATAATTATACATATATATATTTATTTATATTTATATACTTTTTCACACACACACACACACACACACACACACACACACACACACATATATATATATATATGTGTGTGTGTGTGTGTGTGTGTATGTATGTATGTGTATGTCGTTTCAGTTTTACAAATAGCCGCCTACTCGTATAATTTTGTTTATTTCAATTTTTAATTCTCCCTTCCATTGTTCTTCTGACCCCAGACTTATACACTTCAAGATTTGTAAAGATCATCTTCTTTATTTTTCTTTTCATTATTTTTTAATTAAAGCTGAAATCGATTGATAATTGGGAGGTGGGCTTGGGTAAGGAAGATGCGATGAGGGCATAGAGGCGAAAGAATAAAACCTTATAAAAGATATAAAGGAAGGAAGAGTCGAACGATATGTAGCAGAAAAGGAAGGAAAGAAAGCGAAAGAAGAAAAAAAAGAAGAAGCATGAACATGAAAAAGAAAATGAAAAAGAAAAATGAAAAAGAAAATTAAAAATGAAAAAGAAAAGGAAAAAGAAAAATGAAAAAGAAAATGAAAAAGAAAATGAAACAGTAAATGAAAAAGAAAATGTAAAAGAAAATGAAAAAGTAAATGAAAAAGAAAATGAAAAAGAAAATGAAAAAGAAAAATGAAAAAAAATGAAAAATGAAAAAGAAAAGGAAAAAGAAAATGAAAAAGAAAAATGAAAGAGAAAGAAAATGAAAAAGAAAAATGAAAGAGAAAGAAAATGAAAAGGAAAAATGAAAGGAAAAGAAAAATGAAAGAAAAAGAAAAATGAAAAAGAAAAATGAAAGAGAAAGAAAATGAAAAAGAAAAATGAAAAAGAAAAATGAAAGAGAAAGAAAATGAAAAAGAAAAATGAAAAAGAAAATGAAATAGAAAAATGAAAAAGAAAAATGAAAAAGAAAATGAAAAAGAAAATGCAAAAGAAAATGAAAAAGTAAATGAAAAAGAAAATGTAAAAGAAAATGAAAAAGTAAATGAAAAAGAAAATGAAAAATATTGAAAAAGAAAGAATGACGTAAACGAAGAAAGATTTTAAAAAAGACAATCAGGTAATGATAATGTTAGAAACCTGGAATACGAAAAAATTAAAAATAAGGAAATATTGAAAGAAAAAGAAAGAAAATAAAAGATGAATGAAACAATGATGACAAAACTGACAGAATATACATCACACAAAACGAATGCAGAAGAAAAAGTGGACAAAGAAAAAAAGAGAAAAACAAATAAAAAAAACCCAAAAAACGAACAAATAGATTTTTAAAAAAAATAAGAAAAAACATTAAAATGACGATGGAATGATCATTCACAGATAAGTGTAGATAGTTATTACCAAAATAATCCATAAGCAGACAAGATTGGGTTGGTAATCCAGTCGGAACTATGCAAGGTGATATATTTTGACCATACATATCAATGGTATATGCACCAGTCGGAAGACTCAATTATAAGAAAGAAAGAAAGAAAGAAAGAAAGAAAGAAAGAAAGAACACGTGATGAATGCAATAAAATAAGAAAGAAATGATAATATGTAAAGAATGAAACAAAATTAAGAAAGAAAGAAAGAAAGAAAAATGCATGTTTGTTGGGGCGGGGGGGCTAAACTAAAAAGAATATGGGTTGAAAGGAAAGGGGAATGTGAAAGAAAGAAAAGAATGAAGGAAAGAAAGGGAGAAAGGGAGAAATAAAGAAAGGAAGGAATCCGCAAAAAATGATGAACAAAGAAAGAATAAAAACGAAAGAAAGGAAGAAGGATGTATGGGGAGACTAAAGAGAAAATTGTATAAGCTGAAAGAAAGAAAGAAGCAGAGAAAGTAAAAAGAAAGAAAGAAGGAAACAAAAGAAAGAAAAAAGAAAGAAAGAAAGATATATGTGGAGAGAAAAGAGGAAAGAATATGTCTTGAAATGGGAATGAGAAAGAAAGAAAGAAAGAAAGAAAGTAAACCGGAAGAAAGTAATCAGGACAGAAAGGGAGAAGAGAGTAATAATTAAAAAGAAAGAAAGAAAGAAAGAAAGAAAGAAAGAAAGAAAGAAAGAATGATGTATGGGGAGAGTAAAGAGAAAATTGTATAAGCTGAAAGAAAGAAAGAAGGAAATAAAGTAAAAAGAAAGAAAGAAGGAAACAAAAGAACGAAAAAAGAAAAAAAGAAAGAACGAAAGATATATGTGGAGAGGAAAGAGGAAAGAGTATGTCTTGAAAGGTGAATGAGAAAGAAAAAAGAAAGAAAGAAAGAAAGAAAGAAAGTAAATCGGAACAAAGGAATCAGGACAGAAAGGGAGAAGAGAGTAATAATTAAAAAGAAAGAAAGAAAGAAAGAAAGAAAGAAAGAAAGAAAGAAAGAAAGAAAGATGTATGAGGAGAGTAAAGATAAAATTGTATAAGCTGAAAGAAAGAAAGAAGGAAATAAAGTAAAAAGAAAGAAAGAAGGAAACAAAAGAACAAAAAAAGAAAAAAGAAAGAAAGATATATATGGAGAGGAAAGAGGAAAGAGTATGTCTTGAAAGGGGAATGAGAAAGAAAGAAAGAAAGAAAGAAAGAAAGAAGGAAAGAAAGAAAGTAAATCGGAACAAAGGAATCAGGACAGAAAGGGAGAAGAGAGTAATAATTAAAAAGAAAGAAAGAAAGAAAGAAAGAAAGAAGGATGTATGAGGAGAGTAAAGATAAAATTGTATAAGCTGAAAGAAAGAAGGAAGGAAATAAAGTAAAAAGAAAGAAAGAAGGAAACAAAAGAACGAAAAAAGAAAATAAGAAAGAAAGATATATATGGAGAGGAAAGAGGAAAGAGTATGTCTTGAAAGGGGGATGAGAAAGATAGAAAGAAAGAAAGAAAGAAAGGAAGGAAGTAAGTAAATCGGGAGAAAGGAATCAGGACAGAAAGGAAGAAGAGATTAAGAATGAAAAAGAAAGAAAGAAAGGTGAAATAAAAAAAGAAAGGAAGAACCTTAGTGTGAGTCATAAATAATTTCCATATGTCTTTAATAACTTTATTCTTCAACAAATAATCTACAATTCCCTTTTATTCAATTACATATACACAAATATTTACAATGATTTCTTCTCACTTATCAGACAGTTCTTCGAAAAATTTTCAGAAAAAATTCTACTGGTATTGATGCGAAAATCTTTCGGCAATCTCTTGAATCTGGTTTTCATTAGAAATGGTTTGCCCTATCAAAGAATTTTGCAGCAATCGAACAAGGTATTAATTCGTTGGTACACGCTCAGGTGGCACATGGCCAAAGCAAACGAGTTCCAATGTCTTTTGTCCCTCTGTTATTCTTGCTGCATGAAGATTTGTGTCGTCATGCAGGAGACCACATATTTTGCTATTGATGCGCGTTAGGCTGACTTTTGGGCCAAATTTTGCAGGACACATTGCAGCTACTGAACTTATAAATGTGCATTTAATAGTTCATAGCATTTTAAGACCTTTCACCGAATAATACCCCGACGATCCCAGCACATGCACAATATTAAACTTTCTTTGATGTGGTTCAAATTTTGGAATCGATTATGGCGTCTTAACCTTAGGAATACATTGCCTTTTGCATTGAACATTGTCAAAAGCGTGCGTTAGTATAGACAAAATTTATTTTTATTTGTGTGATTATTAGTTTGAATAGTATGTTTATTATTAAGTTTATTTTACTAAAACGGAAATTACTTATAACGTAAATTAGTACATAAAGAAAAAAAACAAGGCAGAAAAACAAAGGGAAACAAAGAAAGAAAAAAAGAAAGGAAGAAAAGAAATGAAGGAATATAGATGATTGGTTGATATGAATGATGAACTAGTAACAAAATCGATAATTGGTTTGATGAGGTCAAATCGGCAGTTGTTCTAAAAAAATTACTTACATTCTGTTGTTAAATGGGACAAAGAGAATCATTTCTTTCATTTTTACGCATCCAAAACCATGCTATAACAATTTTCAGGAGGTACCCTTCATGTTTTCTATCGACATGACTGATGCTAATCTCCGGGAGCGTGACTTATTGCGCTATATCGGACATTTTCTGCTGATATGAAATGGAATGGTTATATTGAATCAATTGCTAGGTCTGCTACTAGAAAAGTTGGTTCAATGTGTTGTGCTAGTCATTTTTCCTCGCCAGAATCTATCTTACATATTTATAAGTCTACCATTCGTCCATGATTATAATATTCCTGGTCTCGTGCTCCTGTTATATATTTAGAGATACTTGATAAAAAAAATCATAGGTCCTAATCTGGTAACTCGGCTTCAGTTCCTTTCCCACTGCCATAATATGGCTTCCCTGTGCCTTTTCTATAAATAACTTCATGTTAGTTGTTATGCTGATAGTTCCTCTTTGGTACCTAGACTTTACAAATTTTAGCGCAGTACTAGATTGGCGGTAAGGTTTCATCATTCATCATTCATACAGTTTAAACTGCAAGATGTAACCGTAAGTTCTTTGCTAACAGTTTCTTCTCGTACGTATTTCTTCCGCGTTTTTTTTTCTAATAAAGTTTGATCTTCAAAAATTTAAATGCAATATCAATCTTTACCTACTTCCTTCTTAATTAGTGTTCTTTTATTGTCTTCTCTCCTTAATAGTATTTTATTTTCTCTTATTCTTTCACATTCAGTAATCCCTTCTGTCTCTACTGGCTTTTGGTTTTCCTAGTCAAATTTGATCTTCAAAAATTTAAATGCAATGTCAATTGTTATCTTTTGTTTTCTTAATTCCTGTTCTTTTATTGTCCTCTCTCCTTAATAGTATTTTATTTTCGCTTATTCTTTCACACTCAATAAACCCTTCTGGCTTTCCCGGTCAAAATTAACCTTCCAAAATTTAAATGCTATGTCAATCGTTACCGTCTGTCTTCTTAATTCTTCTTTTATTGTTCTTTCTCCTTAATAGTATTTTATTTTCTTTTATTCTTAGAAGTAAGCATTTGTGTCTCTACCGGCTTCTGGCTTTCCCAGTCAAATTTGATATACAAAATTTAAATTCATTGTCAATCGTTACATTCCGTCTTCTTAATTCCACTTTCATTGTTTTGTCTCCTGTATACTATTTTGTTTTTATTCAATGACCTTCAGTAATAACTTGCGTGTGAATGGCTTTCTTTCCTTACTTGGGGTGAATGATATTTTAAAAATTGCAACACTGACCAGAAGAACAAATTCTGGACTCATGTTAAGGAAATCAAATGAAGAGCTTTCAACATGTGAGCGATGATGGCACTCCACAACTTCATGCCCTTCATTTCTCTTCTTAATAGTTGCTTTTTATTCTTCTTCTACATCCTACAATACCATTGACGGTGCATGTAAGAAACGAGGAAGATTTCGTGAAGTTTGATGTAAAATTACAATTATACATAAAATGAGAAAAAGTCATTTGTGACATTTGGGGAGCATAGTAAGAAATCTAGGCCTTGAAAATTTAATATTAACAGGTTATATTTAAGGCAGAAGCTTAGAATTGTAAGCCAAATCTAGCCAGCCTAATGGTAGAACAATGACTGTATAGTTTTTGGATTAATTGGTTTATTTTCTACGACTTATCTACCTTTTTCAGGTCATTTAACCCTAGAACATATAGTACCCAGCGCAAATTTTCCTATTTTTACTTACAATTTTCAGTACCTGATTTTCTTACCTAAATAATACGTTTATCAGTTCCTATTAATGTTAACTCAAAGTACAAAGTTCGAATTGCCGGCATATAAAATATTTCAAATAAAGATTTATATTTAACATTTTTTTTGATATTTTCAAAATCGGATATGATATACCCATGGTTAGTAGTGGTGTAACTTTAATTGATGGTTAGTGTTCTAGGGTTAAAGCCAGAAACTTTTTTTAGATTGTAAGATTTTTTTGTAGATGATAATGATTTATTGATACAAATCTTACTAATTAACCTACAGCTGCTGAGTAGTGGCGGTAGAGAAGAGATGAACTCATAAACTTTACCGCGTAAAATGAAAATAACTGACTAGAGTCAGAACTTAGCTCTCCGAATTCCAATCTCAAGTCATTATCCATTACACCACCAGCACATCCACGCTACAGCACCTGGTATGTCCAAGCGGTCAACCCATCTCTTTACTAAACAGGTTTGACGTTGCTTAACTTCGGTGATCGCAAGAAAACCGGTGTTTGAACGTGACATGGCCTAATAGATTGCGGAAGGGATAGAACTAGACAAAGATTGCTTAGCGTTACAAAGGACGGGAAGTTGAGGAGAGCCATTATCGCTCACACTCTGTAGGGATAAATTACATCGATGAAGAAGAATATACGAAAGTAAAAAAAAATACCAATGTTTGCAGTCTGCTAGTCAATTAGTTGGTGACATTTTTAATGTTAGTTTGTTGGTAGAAAAACAGAAAGCTTTCACAGAAAGTAAGATAATGTTTCCGGGTTTTCAAATAATCGCTTAACATTATCATAAAGTAAAAGGGATGAGAAAAAAGAGAGAGACATGATGCGTATTTATTCAGTCATTTGCACCAAATATTATCGCCTGCATCGCATGAATTCTCATGGCAGTCCTGTCGGGTTCAGAAAACACCAAAGACTTTCTCGTTCACAGCAGAGGTTTATCTTAAATATTTAATTTAAAATAACATCGAACTGAACGGGTTCTTGCTTAAGCACACTTGAATTGGCTGCATTAAGAACTTTTATCAGATTCTTTTCATAGTCTGGAAATAATTTTGAGTGGAAATATGCGCATGCGTAGAAGCATGCGCACAGATAGACGGGAAAAGCTCTTAAGATTTATCTTTTTTTGCCGTTAAAGCATACGCTTTTGTTGTGTATATATACATAAACGTGGGGAAAATGGTATAAGATTTCTCTTTAAATATATTTATTAGATTAGCTTATGGCATGAAAAACGTTATTTTTTTTAAGCGTTTCATCCCAAGCAAGGGGGAAACCACTAGGATACAAGGCGTTACAGAAAATTTGGAGCAATATCAGATAGTAGTGATAGAAGAAAGGATGAGGAGAAGGGTAGTGGATAGATCAAGGCAACTGGAGATGTCGATTGACATTACATTTGAATAGCTGGAGATTATAGCTCTCAGGGAAACTGAAATAGGGAAGGGAGTTCCACAGGCGAGAGGTGCGAGACATGAAGCTATTGGAGTAGATGAGACGGCTACATTTAGGAATTTCGACAGTGAAGGGGTGAGAGTGGGATGCCAGCCTCGTAGGGCGCTTGAACTCATGAGATCTGGGAACCAGCGAATGCAGCTCCTCGGAGCAATTGCCATGAAAGTATTTTGTAATAAAAAAAGAGAGAGGCGACGTTGCGTCTGTGAGAGAGTGACTGTAGACGAAATGCCAGAGCAGGGCCAATTATATTGCATATCCGTCTCTGGAGCCTATCAAGAACCCCGAGGCAAAGAGAAGGGGCTCCAGACCATATATGGCAGCAATACTCCATGCAAGGGTGAATTGTTGATTTGTAGATCTGGAGGATCGATTCCGGGGAGAAAAATTTCCTGGCGCGGCACAGGGAGCAAAATTAGATAGACAAGTATAAATAGAGAACAACTGGCGAACAGGGTGGCTATGCCTAGCAAACGCGGTTGCTATTCCGGACAAGGAGAACTGTACTACGACTACTACTACGCAAAGATAATATCACAACTATAAAATACAAAAGAAAAAAGATGTTATATATTAAATATTTCGAGGAATTTTTAAGCAAAAATACGAAAATTTGATTGGCTTGATTCAGCCTTCATCAAATTAAAAATCTGGAAACACATTAGAAAACACCATTTGTCTGAATCCAATTTAATATTAGTCGGGAACACTTGTACTAAAAAGAGTTGATCTGTGGTGACCCCAATAGTTTTAGGTGTCGTATACATAGGGTCTTCAAAATTGGTGGCATTTTTTTCTCGAGGGATAATATATGTAGTGCTCTTAAGCGTAAATTAGAAAAACGCCAAAAATATGTAAT